ATTTGTTCCATTGAGTAATTTAGAGATCATACAGGACCAGTGTTCTCTTAAATGCTTGATTCATAATTTGGATACAGTTTTTTTCCCAATCTTATTACCTATAACACTAACTGGACTGGAGCTCTCCAGGACCAGGGTTGGAGATACCTGATTTAGATTACTATAACTATTTTCTTGTTCTTTATAATATAGTATTTTTTATTATTTTATAGTATCTTTATTTGTGGTTATATTGTATACTGTAGGTGACAGTGATTCATGCAAATGACATGGCTGCAGAACTTGCAATTTGCCTGTTAACATTTTGAATTCCGTGAAGTGCACCACTGAAGTCAGCAGGAAAAATGAAAACCAGACAATTAACTTCCATTTCAGAGAGTAGAATGATCATTTCCTCAGATGCCTGTTTTAAGCAGATTGACAAGCCTCTTCTGCTCTTCATTACGCTGTAGGCCTACTTGTTCAAGCTCCATCTATTAAAAACAACAAGCAAACAAAAGAGGGAAGCGCATTTTTCCATGTTTACATAAGTAGCCGAGCAAAAGGCATCAAATTACATGGTGCAATGGACACAATACAAATTGAAGCTCTTGAATATAAATGAAGCTCGCAGGCAAAATGAGACAAAATCATGTTCTGCTCAGGCATTTTCTCTTTGGAGTTCTAGTGTGCTTCTTGTTTTTTGTGACTCACAGCACAGTGGCTGGATTGTTCTGACTCAGCATACCCACAGGTGTCAAAAGTGGAACTTTCTCATCCCCAGTTCTTTGTGGCGTCCAGGGTTTTGTTAAACTGTGGAAATTAGTCAGTGGCAAAAGCAGCCTCACAACTCTCTTGAAACAAGAAATATTGGGGGTTTTGTTTATACCCTTGAAATACAATGAAGAGACCTACAGTAACTGCACTCCTGTGTAGATCTGAGAAGGCACAATGTTACCTTCCTCAGAGCAATTTAAAGAATTTTATTTGAGTGCTTTTCGGGCAGCTCCAAGGACTGTGTTACAAGACACACGATACACATAACAGAAGTGATCTGAAAGGGGGAAAAGCACAGCAATTCGTTTTGTAAAACCAAGTTGAAAATGAAATTATACCTCTGAAGATTCCATATTTATTCTAACGAAGAATGAGTCTGAGACAGAAGTTGAGTGACATTTCTGGGGCTTACGACCTCACTGAACCAGATGAGAGCCTGACTCTTCAAAGATAAAGCTTTGAAGGGGCAAGTGGAAGCTTACTTTTTTACTTAAGCTTTTCTTTTTTGTTTTTCAAATACTGTATAAATTTGTATACAAACAAACCAAATGCAAAAGTGCTTGTTCTGCAAAAATAAAGCATCGGGTTGTGTTGGCCATGAACCCTAAAACTGTAAGGCAGCAGGTTTGTGAGGGTCACTGAGAAACTATCTGTGTGCTCTTGTTTGTGTCCTTGAATATAATAAAGGTGCTGTCTTGGTGCTGTTCCAAGTGGCTTTTTTTTCCCCTTAGGCCTTCATTACACTTTAACAATCTCATCTCTCGCAAGCACAGTTTTCCCTGTTCTTTTTTTGCTTCTTCACAATTATTTTTCCCCCTTTTTGTACCAAATTGGTAATTGAGATTTACACCTGAGTTGTCACTGTTACTTCCCGCTGCCCTCCTGACAAATGAGCCCTTCAGAACACATTGCTGGCCAGGCAGATCTCCCTGCATCTGGAATAGTATTTATGAACCTTTGGGTATTTAGCCTGTTTAGTCAGAAACTGCTAGTAAGCACCAGCTCGCTCTGCGGGTCCTGCTGGCTCTCCATGAGCCTCAGGAATAAGGATTTGAAATCCCTCTTGATCCTGGTGGTGCCCAGCCAATCCACCACTGGTGCTTGGCTGCCTGTGCAGCCTGGACTCCATCACTCCGATTCCAGGCTTCATCGTTCAGCACCAGAACCTCATGCACCACTAGAAATGGAGAATGAGAATGAAAATGAAGGCATGTCATTTCTTTTTTTAGTTTTTAGCCAGTGTTACAAAATTTCCACCATGGGAACAGATCATTCAATCTGAGTGAGAGTCAGATGGATTAAAAAAAAACATTTTTGTTTTTGGTGACCTTGCAGTGCTGTTAATGCTGTTCTGAGTGAGAGTCCATGTGATAGCATGGGGCTGAATACCACCAATATGGGCAGTCAAAAAAGCTTCAAATTCCTGCACTTATGTGCAGTATGATGCAGAAGCATAACGCATTTAATGAAGCTCTCAGCCTTGAATGCTGTGGTCTTCCTGACAACATACTTTCACAGTGCTATTTGAAACCAGTTTGAATGGGTCTAATACAAACCTAAGACCACAAATTACTGAAGGTCAGTATTTAGGATCCTGACCTATTTATTTTCTGTACATTTCCCCCCTCAACCCAAATTGATGTTTCTGACACATAGTATGTTCTGCCTTTGCTTCAAACCTTTCTGTTTCAGACATGGCAGGTATTTTCTGTCTTTCGAAGTGGATTTCCTGTGATTTTCTTTCACGGAACATTGAAAAAACACCCAGCTCCAGCCTTGTTATCTCTCTCATCCTTGCTCCTCAGAAGACAGAGTGGGATGTATTTTTTAGCAGTAAACTACACAGGATCTCACCAGAGCTTCCTGGCAGATTTAGATAACATCCAGTTGTTAGGCTTTTATCCACTGTCATCCCCTTCATTATTAATTTCACTTGTATGGTATATTCAAGAGAGCTGCTTTCAAATCATTGCAGGAATGGCAGAGTTAGACTGTGCTTTTGTTATTATTGTTCTTTAAAGAACACAGCTTTAAAGGGTGTTAAATGAGAAAATGGTTTTGGTTCTGTTAAATATTATTATTGACTTAATTACTAGTTCAGCTGAGCATTGTCAAATCTCTTTTTAATTGGAGGTATTGAACATCTCTAACCCCCATCTAACATTTACAAGCATACAGTAAATTGCTGCTCTGGAAGGTTAATTCACCAGAATTCAATCAAGCCTGCTTTGTCATCACAGACGTAGGTGCTGCACTGTCTTTAAGCGTTAAAAACCAAACTAGTGTATTTTGGATCATTCCTTATGCTCTTCTATTTATGTAGCCCATTATGCTCAGTTGGTTCCCAGTAGCGGATTGATCTGAGAATCTTGTCTAAACAGTTCTTAAAGGATCCCAGGATCTGTTTGGCAGGAGCAATAGCACAGTGGGACAGTTCTTTTCCCATCCCCCTTTTATTCTTTGGGTGAAGAAGCTCTTCCTGAATTAGCCCTAAGTACACACTCGCTGCAGTTCAGAAGGAAAAGATTTGTGATTTTAATGTAAAGTCCCTAATACTCACATATTCTGTTTCTTATGATTTGAAAAGCAGTGATGACTGTTTGGTTTGCATATTGAGGGTTTTCAATATCCATATTTATTTAGTATTCAGATGTGTTTCTTTTTCATTTGCATTTTATTCACCTGCAAATTGATTAAAAAAAAATGTTTGCACAGCTATTGCTAGATATCTCATACTATTGACAAGTATTTGCATAATGAAAGTGCTTTTTTGCAAACGTGGAGACAAGCACGAGCTTTATGATAGACTGCCTGTCGCACTTGAGTACATTGTAATGACTTCTTGAAACTTGTCTTCTTAGTCTCGTTCTTTCCTGTGGCAGCGAAGAAGGAACAGAACTTGAACTGAGTTCCTTGTACAGCTAATTTCCTTTTGTGTTAAACCACCCAGGCGTGAAGTGTGTGCTATCAAGGAAATCGTCTGACAATTAATTTGCTCTCCTACAAAATCGTGGAGCACAGCAGAAGCTGTGTTTGGAAGAGAATTATTTTTTAGTGTGTGGGGCTTCGTGGTGCGCTCTGTGTTCATCTCACTGACACACACATCAGCAACTTTTCATCATTAGTCAATCCAAGCAGACTAATTTGAAATGACTTTCTCTATTTCCACACTTATCTTTTTAAAAATGGACAGAAATACATTCTTTTTTGCATTTCCACTTTGCTTTTTGGCCAAATGCAAATGAAACTCCTTCTCACTCATTTTAATAGAAGCTAATCCTTTCATTAATTCGTTTGAAAGCACAATCATTTGGTATTATTTTTGTGTGCCTTCTGTTGCATGACAGTATGTAAGACACTAATTCACCATGCCTTTTACCAGCTAGAACAGATGGCCAGCTATACTAAAATAGGACATTGCAATACTGAAGAAGACATGCTAGTGGATAAAATGTTATCACAGTAATTTTAAACAATACAATTATTCAAATTTATAATAGTTGCTAGAGGATATAACAGGTATCTCCAGTGCAAGACCTGGAGAACCCCAATCCTGTTAGTCTCATACTGTAGGTCACCTGCTTACAGTATATTTTCAATACCTGTAAGCCATTGATAAATCACTCTTCAGTTAAGGGAACATAAATGCAAAATAGTCCATCATTTTTAGTTCTAAATGATATCTTAATTACTTACCAAATCACCTGTTCGACTGATCACAATGGAATTATCCCAGATGTTTGATTTTGATGATTTACATGATAATGTAGAAAACCTGCTGCATGGGTGCTCCATCTGCTGTACAGGGGTTAAACAGATACTGCCAACTGAAATTAACTTCAGACAAATACCGGAGACTGATTTCTTCAGTTTCCCCAGGCTAACCAAAGCTGAGCCTGGTTACTACTGGGACTACAGTAACACAAAAATTGGGTTGTGCCGATATTTAATAAGTTCGGTGCCCTGCCATAATGAAAAAGAGCCCCCCCCACACACACAAACAAATAGAGTGGGGTCATCCAGGTTTCCCAAAGCCCTCTATTGCCCAAGGTACAATATGAGGCTGCAGCAAAGCAAAGCTGCAAGGTACTCTTGTGTGCCTGCCTGCTGTTTTATTCTGTGCTTGGTTTCAGAAATCCTTATCCTCTGCCTGGTGCATCATCACAGTTTGATATGGCAGGCCTCTGTGTGATCCCCGCAAGCTTGCTGATGTCCGCGCCAATGCATCTTTTTCTTCATTTCAGGTGTGGAAGCGTTCGGGGGCCTGGTTCTACAAAGCCCTGCCCAAGTTTGTGCGTCCGGTGAAGGAAGCAAGCAGGGCACTGGAAACGAACCCGCCAGTGACCGAACGGGGTGTGCTGCAGCTGAGCAGGAGCGTGCCGGCGGGCCGCACCTACAGCTGGGCGCGTAGCAAAGGTCAGTCACTTGCCTGCCTCTGATGCGATGACCCTCGTCTTCACCTGTACCAACAATTGCTTCAAATGGACATGGTAGTAATTCGGGCGGCTCAGTGGTCAGCATTACTGTCTCGCAGTGCTGGGGCCCTGGGTTCAATTCCTGGAGTTTTGCCTACAGTACATGGAGTTTGTATGTTCTCCCGTGCTCATGTGGGTTTCTTCTAGGTGCTCTGGTTTCCTCCCACAATCCAGAGGCATACTGGTAGGTTAATTGGCTTCAGGGAACATTGGCCCTGGTGTGTGTGTGTGCGTGTGTGTGTGTGTGTGTGTGTGTGTGTGTGTGTGTGTGTGTGTGTGTTTGTTTTCAAACACTTGGAAAATGGATGGATATGCCTCACAGCTGACCAGGGGAAGAAACTACTTCACCAGTTTTAATTTGAGGTCAGATTGAGTAATCCTTACAAAGAATTTCACCACATCACCGAGGTTAACAATCTAACTTTTTATTAGTAAGAGTGCAAAGGGATCTTTAATCACAGTGTAGTCAGGACCTAAATTTAACATCAGATTTTTAAATGACAGCACTTACTGCAGCACTGTTTCCTCTGTCCCCATGGTAAAGCATTGGTTTGAAATTTTGCTCCAAAGCGAAGTGTGACACCAACTGGTCCATCAGCAGCAAGCTGGTTCTTCTGACCAGGCCCAACCTTGTTAAGAACTGAGAGATTTCATGAGAACGTTTCATATCTATGAGAGTTTTCGGACTGCTTCACCTTATATTTCTGTGTGGTTTGAACACAGCGGTTAGAAAATGATGGATGGGTAGAATGAAATAAAAGAAATTGTTTGTTGCAGTTTTTAAAGAGCTCCACTGTTATTTTTTAGAGAATAGAACAGTAGGTACAGTAGGAAACAGTTCCTTCTTCATGTAATCTTGACAGAATGAACTTTTCAAATCTCTGGTGTATTTTTAAGGTTTAGTCACAAAGGAGGTTTTAATGCTGCGGGTCAGGTACTTTTGTAACATGCTCTAGCACTGAATGAAAATACTGTATAACAAGAGCACCCTGTTCTTAATCCAAACCACTTGAGTTGCCTGGTGTGAACTTTACTTTCTGCTTGAGTCCACTGTTTGATCACAAGTATGTAAATCATTCATTATTATTTAATCCTACAGTATCTTAAAAAATTCACATGCGCTCTGAATTCCTTAAGCCCACATGCTGTAAAGATACTGTGTGTGAGTCTTTTTCCTCATCTGCCTTCTCTGTTGAATCCGTTATTATTCTGTTAATAATTATCCTTAAACAGGGTGTTTCTGCTGAACAGGTCAGTTTTGTAGTTTCGTGCCTCACCAGGTAGATCTGAGTTTCTTCCTTGTAAGTTTTTATGCGAAGACTCTTATCTAATTCCTTCAGTCAGTAGTGTTAAAAGTGCACAGTGTCAAAATAGTATAACATGTATAAACTCCCATTGCAGCCCATCCCTGATTCATTTCTTGTACAGGTTGTGTCTGTATAAACACTGCCGTAACATGGTCATCATTCACAGATAATCATATACAGTATATTCATAAATCATATACATTGTAAATTTAGTAGGGGTGTAAGTTCGGTCTCCAGATTTTTCCCCTGGATCAGAATATCAGAATTGCAGAAAGGCCATAGGTAGTTACAGGCAAGTAGTCTTCTGGTTCTCAGTCTTGGTCTTGGGGAGCACTGTGTACACTGGTGTTCATCCCAGAGCTCTTAAAGCATTGGTTTTAATAGATGCCTATGATTGAGCAAACTTCTGCATTTTTATAATAGGTGATCATTTTATGAAATTTCTCACCTATAAGATATCAATTTATTGTGATGAATCAGTCAGTTGATGGTGATCATATATTGATTACCATAAGAGATGGATGAAATCACCTCTTGTGGATGAAACTTTTCTATAAAGATGGTACTTTTTTCTTTTTTCCTGAAGTCCCATTGGTGACATTTGAGATAACGCACCTGAATCTGAAACTGGCTCAGGGCTGATACCAATTACAAATCCCAATCAGCTTTTTAGCTACCGAAAGCAATTTTATACACATGCCATTGAATGAATTACTTCGTGAAATTAATGAGCTTTTGATTAGGTTGCATTACAAGCACGATAATGTGAATAATCGGATGAATCCACCATGCTGTCATTTGTAGGTTGAAAGATACGAGTAAAAAGTATCTTTACTTTTACAGAATCTTTACAGAATACCTTCTTGTAGATTAGATTTCAGTCATGTGGGCATGACACATGAGACCAACATCCCTGAAGTCATTTCATTTGTAAGGGATCAATAAAGCAATCGAGATACAAGTGACTGCTTTTGCGCAACTTCGATGTTTTAGATGTTAATACAATAAGAGCCCATCTTGCAACCTAGATCTTATGACCCTTTTCCTTGGGGAAAGGAAAAAACCCAGAGCTATTTTCCATTTTTTAAGAAGCACCTTGCTCTTTGAACCCTCTCTCCCCTGCCTCCCATTCAGTGCTTTTTAGAAGATGAAAGGTCAATGTCCTTTATCTGAGTATCCCAGGTGAGTATCCAAAATGCTTCTCTCCCCTGCACTGCAAGAGTTCGGGACAGAGCATATTGTGTTCAGTTCTCTGAATCCTGGCGCTTTGTTTAGTCAGTGTTTCCTGATTTCTTTACAGCAGTGCCTTGTGATGATCTTATGCTGTGTAAACCAAGCACGCAAGTGGCTTATTAAAATGTCTGTTTGTGCGTTTCTCTCACTTATGCAATCCCTCCAGTTTATGTTTGTTCCACTAATCCAGAAGTGATGCCTTAGTCCTTAGCTATTCTGTGCCCTGTGTGAGGTTTATGCAATGAAGGCAATCATGTAAACATTTTTGAACCTTTACTGTGATAATCAAAAAAATCTAAGAATGTTATATTTTAAGATGGCAAAATAGATTAGCAGAGCTTTTGGACAAGAGAGCCTTTACTCTCACATGCTAGGGCTAACACAAGCAATTATAATACAAATCATTTCACTTCATTTTGTTTTATTCATTGTGGAAGTAAAAAGTGTTCTCCATTCACAGAGGAAAGCTATGGATTATAGGGCTTTGCATGATGGGTCCATCTTCGTATGATGAAACTGCTTTGAATTTTTCGTGTTTGTAGTTTTTCTTGTTCCTGTTTCAGTAGTAGGTAATCGTACTCTGCAGAATCTGCACGTGCTTCATCAGATTCATGTGGATGCTTTCACTGCAATACAAGATTTGAAACCGGACGCAACATAGAGCATGTTATTACTTAAACTTGTTTACAAGATAAAATCATCACTCGTGTTAGTGTGGTGTGACGCACCAAGTGAATTAAGAATCAAATTGAATTATTGGTCGAAAACCTTTTAATTGTAAAATGTCTAATTGCTTTCTTCTTTATATTGGTATCCATTTTCTTTGCAATACACTGCATCCTGAAACTGAATTGTTGCAATTCCACAAAACCAGGAAAAGTTCTTCAATTCACCTAGAACTACTTTGTTTTGTTACTAGTTACGTTTCTTTGCATCCCTCCAGAGTCTACCTAGGAAAGCAATATCAATGATTCAGTAACATCACCAGAAGCAAAAGAAATCACTTCTGTGATTTCTGGAAGTTGCTCACTTTTGTCAGTGTGATCTCGTTGCTTTTTGTCATCGGTTCTGGTTTGTTACACAAATTCCAATTTATAAGCTAGAGCAAGAGCACGTGGTTTAACAGAAGCAGTATCATGAAAGTTGTTTTAATGTCTGTGAGCTCTAAAAATAGTTTTCCCTTTTGGTCTTAATATCAGAGAAAATATTTGCTTGCATTTCTAAAACATCACAGGAGTCACTGAACTCTGAATAAGCAAGTCATTCATTGTTGAACTATTGAGAAGATATTCTTTTTTATTCATAAGATGTAAATAGCTTTACTATCAATGCAGGCTACATAACCCAAAATAGCAAGCATAATGGAACAAGAAAAACAAGTCAGTCTGAAGTGATTTATTACCATCTTTACAAATATGTAGAGCAGTGCTGATATAACAGTTTTGCTCAGGCAATAACTTTGCTTTGAATTTGCATACGTAAATCTGTTCATGACTTCATTTGTTTTTAATACTGATTTGACATGTGATGCTGAAAGATGAACCATCCTTCATTGTGTATTCAGAACCAACAGTCACATTAATCCATCTCACTCTAAGAACATTGCATTTTCTTTTCTATAAACGAAGCTGTTGAGTGTGTTGTGCTGGATTTTCTGCTGTTTTTTGTGTTTTATTTACTTGGCTTAATGACAGTTACAGGATGTATACTTTGCCACAAGGTCATAGATGTCCTGGTTCGTTAGATGACGTTAGATGCTGTGACACAGCAACTGATGTATGTGGGGCCTGTGTGTCACCCATGAAAGATATGGTTAAGGTTCTGGTACAGTCAGTGGCAACTCAGCAGGAGGCTATTTGAGTGCAATAACTGGCACAGCAGAATAGATTACTGCCCACCACAAGTGTGCCTATATTCGCCAGAGGGCAATGAAGGTCCAGACCGAATATCCGCAAACCCAGATTAAGTTGGTGCTGGCTGTTTGACAGGATTTGTGGAATGCTTGGGCAGTGCTGGGCACTTTACTGTAGTTCCATGAAGAGTTTCAGTAGTGGTGTGCAGGGACCGACTGCACATAGCCTGTTGTACAGAAGATAGCACCTCAAGATTATGTGGAAACGTACTTAATAGCTTTTGAAAAAAAAAAACAGTGGAACACCTACAGGTACATTTTGATTGCTGCAACTTTTCATCATTGAGTAACTTCCCCAGCTCCTGGAAGCCTGGTGACAGGATCCCTCTGAAGTACTGTAATTGAGCAGACAGGTCCTGTCAGTTACACATGTCCCAACCAGGTTGGAAGAAGAAGGGGCAAATTTACTGTATGATGCAGATCTCTAACAAACAGCGAGATGAACGTATTCCTGCCGACGTGGGCTGTTGTTCCCTTTCTTGCAGTAGA